TATAACTCGAAATTAAGCTTATTTCGAGTTGCAACACGAAATTAGCACTAATTTCGAGTTATAACTCGGAATTAAGCTGATTTTGAGTTTTAACACGAAATTAGCACTAATTTCGAGTTATAACTCGGAATTAAGCTAATTTCGAGTTCAAACACGAGATTAGTACTAATTTCGAGTTATGACTCGAAATTAAGCTAATTTCGAGTTGCACCTCGAAATTAGGCTAATTTCGAGTTATAACTCGAAATTAAGAAAAAAAATATCTCATGTCCGTTCTACGCTTTCGTACAAAACGCTAATATCCATATCGACAAGATTATAATTTTATGGGAAACAATGTAGGCGCACAATTTCAGACGACAACAAGAAACAAAGAAATACAGCCAGCAACCAACATGAGAGAAATACAACCAGCAACCAACATGAAAAACACTAACCGTTCCTTATAAGCCACAATCTTCTGATCGAAATAATGTAACGTTCAGTAATCGTGAATAATAAACCTTTCTCGATACTGAATATCCCAATAAAAAAACTCGACTCGTGTGTTTTTTTTTCGTGATTCCTGTAAACCCGACTAAATTCATCGTAAAAAGTCGAATACAAAATATGGATGAATGTAATAGGGTTAAACAGAGTGTTCCAAAGATGAAATGATATCAGCCTGAGGGTAATCATGTCATAGTGATTTTTTTTATCGCTTGGAACGCACGGAACATCGTGCATACCTGAAGATGCTAACATAGTTACCGAAACACATGACGTTCAAAAAATCTGCTTGGTTTGTGGGAAAACAGTGCATAGTGGAATAATAAGTATGCTCCCGAACTAACACCTGTTCTCTACAAGTTGTTCAACTACTCTTACAAATTGAGGATATTCCCGTCCGACTGAAAGATTGCAAGACATCCATTTCGATGATTGTTATCACTATCAGCAATAACCTCTCTTGATAAAATCACGTGAGATCAATTGCTAAAAGTGCATCCCAAAAACTTGGTTTTCTGTTTCGGGCCGGAGCTATTTTACTTCCAGTCAGCTGCTTAGGATCTATAAGGCAGAGATCCGACCTGTCCTGGAATACTGTTCCAATATCTGTAGTGCATCACCCAAACATACTCTGAAACGGTTGGATTCTATCCAAAAAAGGGCAATTCGTCTCGTGGGTGATGCCTCACTCACAATCTCACTCACTCCTCTGGAACAACGTAGGAAAGTTGTCGATCCTGCTTTATTTTATAGATATTTTCATGGACGATGCTCTTCTGAAATAAGAACAATTGTTCCTCCCTTGGCAGTCCCCGCGAGATTAACCCGTCGAGTTGAGGCTTCGCACCCCTTCGTGGTCACTTTGGAGACCTGCAGAACATCTCTTCACAAAGACTCGTTCATCCAACGCACAGCGAGGCTCTGGAACACATTGCCAAAGAAGGTGTTCCCCGAGGCATATAACCTCCAGAAATTTAAGAAGAACACCAATTCCTACCTTTTCTCTCTTGGTTCTCACGATGTTCTCTAAACATTACAGGATATCCCTTTTCGTGGGAACCAGAACATTAAAAAAAATGATATGATTGATGAATGAAATTAATAGCAAGATATCAACACTGTATTAGTGGGATGATCAGCAATGATCCTAGAGAATAATAGGTTGTGTCAGGGGAAACATTATAAATATTGATAAATGAATGGGAATATAATTAACAATATCTTAAGGGAATATTCTGGGAATTTTTTGAATAGAATGTACATTGAATATTGTTTGCAGAATGAGAATTTCTTATGATCAGTCTGATAACATTCTATGAGAATATTCTGAAATAAATATATTTGAACGTTGTCAGAATATTCTGTGACAAATATATACTGCTGTCTGCATGGACTGTATATACAACAGTGATGACCTCTCATGCTTTCCTACTATTATTATCAACATAATTTTCAGTAGGTTCATTATGACTTCTAGATATTTAGATGGGGCTTGGCTACTGCTACTTCAGTCAGGAATGTCTTCAGTATCCATGTAGAACAGTAAAACGAAACGCCGCCTCTTAAAGTTGTCTGGAAATATTTCGTAAGGTGTTCGTATTTTGCGTTTAATTGTCATGAAGACATGCATTTCAAACTTCATTTGAAGCAATTGCTTACCCACGTAGACGTCTAGACGAACCTCTTTATATTTTTCGCATGAAATAACGGATACCATACCCGGAAAATTGTCCTGGACTCTGAATATTCATTTATTTAACCGAAATATGATCAAAAAATGCATCTCTCAATTTCAGATAGCTATCATATTGCCACAATGCTCAACTTAATACAAGATCTTGGAGTCATCAAATCTCATCTCTACATATCCAAAAAATAGGACACAATATGTTGAGTATGGCAATCAGAGCTATGGTATGGTATTCCTCAGGGCTCTGTACTCAGACCATTGCCCTTCATAATCAATTCCATTAATCTGCTCAATAATCTGAGCCAGACTGTGAATCCTACCTTCAAGTCAGAAATACTCGCGAACTATTTTATGTTATGTATATGGTCTTATTCAGAAACTGGTTACGTTTCAACTCGTTTAAAAAAAACACAAAATTTATGTTATTCTTCAACGAATATCAATCTCAGTGAATCAGTTAAGTTCTCAGGTGTGTTTATTCAGAACCCAAGTTTGATTTCGGCTACCACACTCAAGATCTGTGCAAACGTCTAGCATAGGCGACATTTGGAATAAGACAATTGAGGTTTCAGTTGGACAAAATTCAAGGATTGCAGAATTTTCCCTGTGTCATAGTATACTTTTTCACTGACTATCGATCTGGTGGAATTGTAGCAACAAACAAAGAGATTTGTAGTACAAAAGTAAGCAATATGATATATGAGTTTCAGTGTAGCTCTCGATATCATTCTAAATCTTTATTTGAGAAATTATAATATTTCTGGTTATCTGGCTGTTATATAAGTATCATGAAACGCTGTTATGCATTCGTGAAAAATGCACAATAATATTCACATATATTCAAATCAAATTCTTCGCAACTTCGACGCGGTCTGCAGGCATTTTAGTCTCGGAATATATGTCCCAGAGGAATGTGAAAACATTGTAGTTCATCGAACGGCACCTGTGCCAATCACTATCCTGAGCGAAATTATTGAAAAATAGCACTCTCCTGTGCGGAAATTTTGCACTCGATTTCGCGATTTGATAACGAGATGGGAATTTTGCCATCTGCATGATACCAAATCAATGGTAGATTTCGAGAACCTATTATTCCTGGCATACTTCCGTCATGTGATAACGAGTTGAAACAAAAAGCAAATGCAAGGGAAAATGTCCCTTTTGCGAATATCCGAACGTGCCGTGAATCAAACTGATCTAAGTTAGTGGCAGAGCGTCAATATTTCCGTGAATATTTCGCCCTCGCCGAAAGATAATATCCGATGGACCAGTGTGGAACTCGTGTGGAGCTCATTCTACAAGTATTATAATCCATGTGTTGAGTTCAACACTGGTCCATCGGATATCATCTTTGTGGGGGGTGGAATATTCTGGGAAGTATTGACGCTCTGCCACTAACTCAGATCAATTTGATTCGAGGCACGTCTGGATATTCGCCAAGGCGACATAATCTCCTTTTATCCGCTTCTTGTTTCAACTCGTTATCACATGACGGAAGTATGTCCGGAATAATAGCAGCACTGTACCGTGGATATGTCTCAGACTGAGGCGTGGCACAGGTAGGTTTTTGAAATCAACCAACCAATTGGTATCGGATGGCATAATTCTTATCTCGTCATTAAATCGGCAAAGTTTTCATAATTTTGCTCAGGATGATGAATGGCACAGGCGCCATTCGATAGACTACAATGTTTTAACATGCCTTCGGAACATACAATGTGTACCAGCTAAAACTTGTCACCCCCAAATCTCCGATGTCGTTAAAACAATTGAAAATCGCTCGGATAGGTCGATTTAAATTTTGCGGGGGAGACATTATTCTGCAATTATCATATTCCAAAGTTGAAAAACCTTGAAGCGTAACGGGCATCAACTCTCGATTTCCCTCTCGATTTCCCTGTATTTCATTGCATTTTTAGATTCTCCCTGAAGAGCTGCTTTCATCAACGTCACGTTCACACTTGGTGAATAGCGGTAATAATTCAGAGATTTAGGGTGTTCAAAATCGATATTTTTCAACTTCAGGATTTTTTTGGGTCGTAACTATTCATTATTCAAAGTTAGAGAATCTCGATCTCGATGATTGCAGAAAAATGTGTCCGCCGCCAAATTGAAATCGATCTGTCCGAGCGATTTTCAATTTTTTTAACGACATCGGAGTTTAGGGAGGTCATAAGTTTCACACACTGTATAACATTTCGTTATCAGATGACAGTCAAAATTTGCCGCCGGCTCTTGGACTATGACGTTGATCACCTTCGAAACTTCGCAACTTTTGCTACTGGCCCCTTTAACTACTCGTCCCCTAGACCGCCTAGGCAGACTGGCGTTTTGGTGTTACACATCATAGATGGAACCATTTAAGTAGAGAATTGTGACTGTTGCGAGTCACGTTGAAACTCATGTAGCTTATGAGATATGGAAATCTTATATATAAAATTCTTCTGCCTCTGTCACGGTGTTTGATGCCAAACTCCTCCGAAACGGCTTGACCAATTCATATAAGAATGTTTGTTTGCAGTCGGTAGGTATGAGAAATAGTAGTGTCAAATATTCATAATCCAGGTTATCATCCATTGGTAGAATTGGAATACCTTGACAGATTGATCCTCATGCTTTGAAACAATGCTAATTCCAAAAATGATGCTTGATAGTCTGACCAAATAACACAAATTAATATGACAAGATTGGCGAGTGTCAAGTTCAGGAAAATATTTGAATGCCAACGTTATTTCATCGTCTTATTATAACGTTGAGGTGCGATATACGGTATCAATAAATCAGGGGAAAATCGGCGAGTAGATAAGGAAACATCACTTACACATCTCCCTTCCTAGCACCCATGTCTCAGGCCTGGTATTCACCTCAACCAGCACAGTAGGCGTGCAGACTAGCAGCACCATCAGATCTGCCACGCTCAGATTCACCAGGAAGATGTTCGTGCTGTTGCGCATGTCCTTCGTCTTGAAGATGACGATGGGCACCATCACGTTGCCAATGACTCCCAGACACATGATGACGATGCAGAACACCATGGACGTGGTGCGGATATAGCTGGGGAACACCGGGTACATACCCTCGGTGGCGTTGGTGACATTGCTGCCGTTGTAAACGTCCACGACTGTGAAAGGCGAGAATTCAAATTACCATGACTTACGGTATTAGACTGTCAGGTATAGTGTCACATTTTCGGACGTGTGATTTCTTTCAGTATGCGTTTTGGAAGGTATCATTATGTATAGAGTTATTCAAATGTAAAGAACCATCCATATATCTCAGTAACCAGTAGTCAGATCATTCTGAATTTTTATAAGTGGTGAATTGGAATGTGGCGGTGCAAAAGATTATATCGCCAATGTTGCCACGTTATCAATTCTTCCGGAATTATTATCAACTATATATTTTTATATCATTTGATAGAGATTGTTTCAACGAGTTCACTGATATACCATTCAATACAAGAACAAGAGAAGAGACTACTCATTTGAGTAGATGTTCGAATTATTTTCCGTTGACCTCCTGAGAATGAGCTAGACGATTATACACTGCATCCACAATATTTCTGATGTGTTCTCGTGATCTCCTCCATCACTCTTCGGAAAACAATTTCAAATTCTCGAGACTGTTTGGCCTTTCTATGTAAACAATATTTTTGACATGTCCCTATAAGAAGGAATCTTATGGTGTGAGATCCGGGGAACGCGCTGGCCATTCGATCGTTCCACAGCGTCCTATCGGTTTCTGAATACGTCATCAAGATATTGCTTTACATTGCATGCAAAATGCGGTGTTGCCATGTCTTGTTGAAACTAAATATTCTGACGTACTCCACCATATCCATCTGGGAACAAATTCATCAATGCAGGAAAAATCTCATTCTGTAATAATATGAGGTATCTGTGGCTATAAAACGTTCCTTCAATGAATAATGGTCCGACGATTCTATTGTCAATAATACCAGCCCAAATATTCAATTGCTTAGGAAATTGGGTATCTTGAGCCCGATGAGAATTCCCATAAGTCCAGTATCGACAGTTTTGCCTATTAATCGATAGACAAAAAGTGGCTTCATCAAAAAACAGAATATTCCTAATGAAGTTGATACCTCTCGCCATCAACGTTTAACAGAATGTATTTCTCCTTTCAGCATCGCCATTAATCAGTTCGTGGATGGAATGTATCACTGACATTTGACTCATTGCATGATCTAAGCTCAATTGTGTTATCCAATGTTTTTTCAGGCGTAGTTGTTGTTTTCGGACGTCCTGTTTTTTTGATATTCTTCACATTCCCTGTATGCTCGAATCGTTTCAAAGTTTTCGATACTGTACCTCGTCATATCGCTTCTCGATCTGGGTGACTCGTATTGAAGAGATATTCTTTCTATCATTATTGACAAAGATTTGTTGTTTCACAAAATGATATATTCTTCAGTTAAGAAAATTATTAACATTGAATCAGAATTGTCTGATAATTAATTAATTATTCAGGAATAATTTGCAGGTTCTTTCCAGATATCTTCGTGGATATTGTGAATAAAACTATGAAATAGTATATCAGTGAACCCGTTGAAAATTTATCAAATAAATAGGATGTGCTATTCAAAATAAGGAAGTTGAGAATAATTCCGGAAAAACTGAGAACGTCGAAACATTGACGATATAATTTATCGAACCGCCACATTTCCAATTCACCATATATGAATATTCAGAAAGATCTAACGACTGTTTTTTGGGATATATGGATGGTTCTCATACATTTCATTATCTCTGTATATTTTGATGTTAAAAAATGATACATGAAAGAATCCGTCTTCATGCATTAAAGCTAATAATTATTAACGTGGTTTGTTCGCAAATTAAGCGTTTCGATACGATTTCGATCAAGCTTCATGATGAAATTCACTGTGAGAAACTCCATATAACAAAACATCCTGTATGAATCCTCCTGAATTGAAATCCATTTCGAGAAAATCTATAATGCTTCATTGCCCTCAATGGAATATTTGAAAAAATCCTTTTTGAAATGGGGCAATCCCAAACTTTTCGGGATTCATCACATTTTCAGATTGTTACATATCGGTGGAATACCGAAAATACATTGATGTTGTGATTAATGAAAATAAGCTATTAGAATCTTGAAAGGAATTGGAAAGTGGTTTATCCCATCCAAAGTTATGACGGTTCGAAATTGCTTGTCTAACTTCGATTGTGGGTCAGTTTAGATGCATTTTTAGACCAATTAGAATGTTCAAACGCGCGCCTGCGTAGTCCGATTTCGACGCGATTACAATATCCGTCAAGTAGTCGGAGGAAGATGAATATAAATTTTTCTTATAGAAAATGATTCTCCCTCCGCTACGCGTCGGGAGACAACACAACCTGGAGCTAAAATCTACTACTTTTTTCCCTTGTTTAATAAATAACTATTATTATCATTCTGAAATGAAGATATTGACCTTCACCACAGAGCGATAATAATTTTTGGGTGGAAGAGTTATATATGTTTTTTCTTGTATATTGATCTAGCCATCACCTTCTCTCCAGAATCAAGCTAACACGATTTTGTCGAAAAGTCACTCGAATCGGACAAGACTTGAAAAACTTACAGGGCGATCAATTTTCGGCAAAATTTTTTGCTGGGCGGAATTCTATGCTGGTGAGTGTATATCCTATCGACTGCAGAAATGATCCTGATATCTCAAGAAAGTTTTTGGGATCACACGTTAAAACGTAAGACTTGAGGGTTGCTCGTGAGGGGGCAACCGAATGACGGATAGAACAATTTTAGAACAACAATTTCATAGAACAATATCTTGTAGATTTTTATATTTATAGGGACGAATCGAAAGAACAAGATATGTTAAATTCCAGTCGAGGCCACTGCAGTTTCAAGTCTATAGAGTCCAACTTTGAGGACAAGGCGAGCAGTATAGGTGGAAGTTCTAGACAAACGCGATATCGCCAAGTAGATACTGTTGAGAAAAACAAAGCATTCAACTAAAAAAAATTGATGCAGTAATAAAAATAATATTGAAACACCAGGGTGTATACGTAGGAACGTGGTTGGCCCACATTTTACGGACACCTTGTATAAGTAGTTATTGCACCAGAGACAACGCGTTTCAAATCCGGCTACCATCTCCTACTCTTTTTTTCATTCAAAAGATTCGAGTTCAATTCGAATTAATAACCGCCATCGCTGAAATCGGTCTGATTGGTCTAAAAATGCATCAATATCGATAGACACGGTTATCTGAATTCTTACCTGCGGAAGAGGTGTAGAGGTAGTGCGAGGTGGTGGTGTTCAGCTCCGTGAAGGTGGTGAGGTTGTCTGCTGGACTCGTCGTGAGCGACAGGATTGATGAGATCATGTCATCGTTTTGGAATCGTATCGGGTTTCTGGGGAAACCTGAAATAAATCACAGTATCAGGCACAAGAATGAGCAATAATCAGATATCAGAGCACAAATTCTTTTCCTCCTAGTCATCTCTTGGAGTGCATTCAGTGGCGTACCTACGGGGGGGGAAGTATGGGAGATATATCTCCTCCGTATGCCGATAAAAAGACATAACATTTCTTCTCGTTTTACATTTTCATCCTTACAAGGGTTCCGTGTCGTTGGTTGTTGGGCGAGACTAGCTTCAGAGCGTATACCCTTGCTCTTTTGATAGATCATGAATTTTGTAAAGCGATTCTCGACTTTTTCAAGTATTTCCCCGTGAACATGATGAAGTGGCGAAAATGTTGGTATTTGTTACTGTTATTGCAGCAAATAAGTTCAGAATCTCAACTGATGAGTCAGACAACGGCACATGCTAACTCAGCACATAACATTTTCATACTGACTGAGCACTGAGCAGCGAGCCTGCTTCCTGCTAAAAGCGGAGAGGCGTTTCAGCTACGAAGTGGGGACGAATCAATGTAGAGTGTTACAGTTGGGTACTTGATTCTCCATCGCGTGTAATTGTTGAATATCCAGCTAGTAGACTGGTTCCTTGCAGAAATGAAGAATCGATTGAACTTACCCATGCTGAAGTCATGGATCTACAATAGGTTTTGTAACGTTTCACCAGTTATTCACATAGTAACTCTATATATCAAACCTTATTAGCACAGTGCTCTTCATAACAGTGAAATCTACAATAAGATACAATAAGTCAATAAATAAAGACATAAAAATATAGAACTCAGACACGACATACACATGAATTACGTCACATATTTCAAGAGGAGGGTGATTTAGAGATTTCTCCTTTCTCAATTAATCAATCAATAATTTCCTTTCACAAATAACACACGATTCTTTGAAAATATCTAGTGACACACAACTTTTCATTCTACAGGGCATATTATCGAACAATACTAGACCTTTTGTGAATAGACATCACAGACAATATTTCCAGAATTCATATAGAAATCATTTGCTGCTTGTCTTCTGGTATTGTGACAATGTAGATCTTGAACATAATTAAGCTCACTCGATAAATACAAAGACAACATGTTATTTTCCAATTCATAAACAAAAATATTATGAAATAAATGTGAAAAGCTCACAGTCATTTCCACCCAGTGTTCATAAAAAAATATTATGTATTATATGGAACTCTTTGTTTGATGTTCATTGATTGCAATGTGTTAAGCATTGTTGTGACTGGTGTGCGTCGTTCACAATCCAAAATCGCTCGCATTGCACGATTTTGGAGTTTTTGCAGAGTAACCTGTTTCTTACTCAAGAAACTGAGTAAAGTATCACAATAATCAATATGAGGTGTAATTATTGACTCGTAAATTGTTAATTTCGTGAAATGAGATACTTTCTCACCAAGCCTGTACATGAAACCTATTTCTCGCGCAATTTTCTTTTTGATATATTCACAATGACTGTTGAAAAATTCAGTTGGTTATCAATGATCACTCCCAAATACTTGAACATTTCCACTTCTTCAATGATTATTTCTCCGTTTATTTGAATATTGAATTCCATCTTATTTTTCTCGATCATCTTTGAATTTGCTTCCGAAGATATAATCATGAATTTCGTCTTCGTATCATTAATTTTGAGTCCATCGTCACAGTTCCAGGGGAATATATTCCCAAGATTTTCATTCAAGAATTTTTCCACTTCATCTTTTTCGCCTGAGAAGAAAAGTATAGGATATCACCCGCAAAAACTTTCAGCGTATAATTTTGGACGTGATGTATAATGTCATACATGAATAAAATGAATGATATTGGTCCCAGTACCGATCCTTGTGGTACTCCATGCATGACCTTCTCTCCATTTGAGTAAGTGTTATTGTATTATTCTCTATTTTGTATATAGATCTGAAACCATTCGAAAACCTTTCCGCCGATTCCATATTTGTTTGTTTATTTTGAGGATAAATTACTAGTATACTTTTCCTATTGAATTCTCAGGTTTGAGTCATTTTTAAGAACATTGTTTCATGTCGCTGAATTTGGGCTCTTGTGATATCATTATTGAGAATTGCGGTTTGTCTTCAACTTAATCCAGACATGACACGATGTAATTTATATGATATTGTAATAACTGATCATCTATAGAATATGAACCATGCGATACCGTATAATTCTGTCAATATATAGCGGAGTATACTCTCAGGTATCATTATCATAAGCATTAGATTTGCCAAGCGCATTATTACATACAGCCATTGTAAAGCCCATCATTATCATGATTTATCGGTTATATCAGAATTATAGGTTGTTTGCTTCCTATAAATAAATGAACAAAACAGGGTAATACCTCTCGAGTATATCCGGATTTGGAAATAGATTATGCACGATCGATCAATATGATAGATATTGGAAAAGCGAACAGTCAAAAATTACCGATCACTATTTACATCAAGAGGGAATTGACATTATTCTTCAAGTTGCATTACATCTGACAAACATATCTCCATCTTTTTTCTCCGCTTTCTGAAACATTTTGGTATACACATACACAGGGTCTTTTATAATATATACGCAGGACTTCGTGATGTGATAGCTTATTCAAAAATATGAAAAAAAAAGTATCTTTCAACGTACCCTCTGAAATGCACCATTTTCGAGATACGAGGTGTTGAAATAAAAAAAAAATCGTTCTTTGCGAATATCTCTGGAACCGTTTATTGCACAGATAACAGCTTTTGTGAGCATCTTCTACTCATGATAATCTATATTTTGTGCCTATTTCTTTTTCAGTCATGATTGGTGGAGATTTTGGAAGGTAGTGGGTGCTTTGCTACCCAACTTCGACGCCACTGGAAAAAGTAGAGTTTTAGTCCACCTTTTTGAACCGCCCAAGTTTTCTACACAAAAAAGTTACTTTCGGTCAAAAGATCTGAAGTTGTTTGTTTTCGAGGAAAATAATCTTTTATTTTGAATAATATGGTAACTTCTTTCAGCAATAGCTGCGTGCATTGAATCTAACCGCGGACTTTCCTAAGAATTAATCTAAGTAGGATTTTTTTTTTCAATTCACCAATTATAAAGTTATCGTTAGGTTTCGTTACTCGCTCTAACGTTCAAAAACGGTCAATATCAAAACTTAACTTGATGAAAACCATTTTTCCTATTTCTTGACAATCTTCCACATCCTGAAGTCCTGCGCATATATTATAAAACATCCTGTATAGTGAGAAGTTTGGACCAAACCTTCCACCTATTTGGAATTGGGAATATCCTTATCTGGGGCTAATTTGTGATAGAAATTCATGAAGTCTCAAAGTGGAGAGCGTAGATCATATGCAAATAGTGAATTTGTGGAGACAGCTGACGACTCTGAAATCTCGCTCCATTATTTTCAATTCATTTTTTCACATATCGATTTTATGATTGATTCTTTATGAGTTTGACATAACCAGATAGATCATGACTTTTCATGGAACTACCTATATACCGGGTGTCAACGAATCTATTAGACAAGTCATAACTTCTAGACCATAAGGTGTATCAGAATGAGATTTGGTATAGGTGAATGGTATGTGAAGATGAGAGTTTTCACATATTTTTCACTTTCCGGTCACTTCCGGTTTTACATAGATTATACTTTGTCCACCCTGTATCTTTTCGTGATGGCAAAATTCAGTCTGCTATGTGACTAAATCGGTATGAAAATCTCATAATGTTACATACTGTGGTTATCCAGTAATGGATATCCTGAATGAAGTACTCAGACATCAAAATTAGAAGTCTGGTCTCGTTTTTCCGTTTTTCTCTGAAACGAAGTGTTCTATCGAGTATCAACAAGAGGATGTTTTCTGTACATAATTGAATAGGCTTCCATAGCATTGTACGAAATTTGAGAATTTTCTGGCGGTGCTCACTTTTAAGTAGAATATGAAAAATAATATTTTCGTAGCGGTGCCACTGGTAGAGGAAATGAAAATTTTTGTACATCAGAAAATGCACCTTGATGCATAAAAATGAAGATGTGAACAATATTGTCTCAGTTATTATAATAAAAAATAATATTTTCCAAAACTTCATTACCCTGTATCTCAGAAGTTGAGACTTTTAGGACATACATACGTTCATATGAAGTTTCCTTTTTAAAATGAGTCAAGGAATCACACCTTCAGATATTAGCATGTCTTCGAGGAACACTCTGTATATTGTAAGGTATTATCGTTGAATTTCAACTCAGAATATAATCAGTTCTTCGCAGCAATGTGAGCTGTTAATAAAAATTGTATTATTTTTATTATTATTGATGATATTATAATTGTTATTATGGTTTCAAAAGAATGATAGAACATCGCAAAAATAGATCTAAAGGTTCCAAAGGAGTATGTAAAACAAATTAGATATTTTCTTGGATAAACAAGACGAATTGACATAATTTTTGGTGTAATGAATATCATTATTGTCTTCATTCAGTAGAAAATACTAATTAACAAAATTATTCTTCAACGATTCTTCGTTTTTGTTTTTGTTGTTGTTGTTATTCCAAGGAATCCAATTGAGATAGACCGAATTTCTATTTACTTTCTATTTTTGCGTTTATTCTGCTCTGGACCATTCCCTTTGTGTCAGTTTAGAACATACCGTTTCATGCTTTATTTTGATTAGCAGTAATTTTCTGTGTGGCGACGTGAAGAGTCCGTAAATCGTCTGAGCTAGATTGATTGGAGTTATTTTTGGAAGCACACATATTTTTCTCATTGTCCAGCCAGGAAAGTTCAGTAATACTACCTCATACAGATAATGTTTACTGAATACTATCTGTGTAGAAAATTCGTCTTCATGAAAATGAAAATTCTTCTAGAACCACAACCAAGACAGTAATCAGTTCAAATTGAAATAACAAAGGTATAATGTTGTGATAGCCCGAAATATTTTTCCTAACAAATCGTTTTATGTCCTCTATCGCTCTATCTCAGAGATCATCATATTATCTG